ATCTCTGATCGAGATAGCAGGTTTACCTCCAGATTCTGTCAGTCCCTTCAGAAAGCCCTTGGAACCAAATTGGATATGAGCACAACGTATCATCCTTAGACCGATGGACAGAGTGAGAGAACAATCCAAACCCTGGACGACATGCTTAGGGCATGTGTCATTGACTTTGGAAAATCGTGAGACACACATCTATCTTTGATCGAATTCTCATACAACAACAGTTACCACACCAGCATTAGGGCACTCCGTTTGAAGCCCTATACGGTCGTAAGTGTAGATCCCCTCTGTGCTGGGCCGAGGTGGGAGATACGCAATTAGCCAAGAGTCGAGTCCCCGATAGTGCTCTCACTGGTCCTGAAATCATCCGCGAAACCACTGAAAAGATCATTCAAATCCGGAACCGATTGAAAGCTTCACGAGATCGCCAAAAGAGTTATGCTGATAACCGTCGGAAACCTCTAGAATTCCAGGTTGGAGACCATGTCCTGTTGAAAGTCTCTCCCTCGAAAGCCACTGTACGTTTTGGCAAACATGGAAAACTTAACCCTAGATACATTGGACCCTTCGAGATCCTCTCCAGGATCGGTCCGGTTGCCTATAAACTTTGTTTACCTCACAAACTCAGTAACATTCATCCTGTTTTCCATGTTTCAAATCTCAAAAAGTGCCTATTCGATGAAACCCTAACGATTCCCATAGACGAGATCGAGATCAATGAAAACCTCAACTTTGTGGAGGAACCGATCGAAATCATGGATCGAGAAGTCAAACGTACAAAGCAAAGTCGCATCCCGTTAGTGAAGGTTCGCTGGAATGCCAAGCGGGGACCAGAATTCACTTGGGAGCGGAAAGACTCAATGAAACAGAAGTATCCACAACTCTTTCCAGATCCATGATTTGTATCTTGTCTCGTGTTTTAACTTTGAATTTCGGGACGAAATTCCCTCTAACGGGGGGATAATGTAACAACCCGAAATTCTGTACCACTTCTTGTAACTCTTTTCGTAGTCCGATTCAAGCAACCAATCGTTGTTTTCAAATCCGATTTCCGATTTCACCGGTTAATTAAGTCATTATTTTGTATTGATCTAAAATGACTTAATGGGTGTCTTAATACAATTAGAAATCATTTTAACACCCATATTAGTGATCAGAATATTTCTAGAATTTACCATATCGGGTTACGACAACATAATCGAGTACGACCAAAAGTACCGTCTAACGGCAGTATCGGGTAGAATTCCACCGGGCCACAAACTCAACCCCTACATAAGGGATTGAGTGACATCATTTTGAGGCTTTTACTCTCTCTCTAAAAACTTTCTCTCACTACTCTCTCTCTAAAATCCAAACATTTGCCAAAAATCATCCAAAACAAGCTCCAAATCACTAAGGTAACTTCCCTAACTCATGAATTAGCATCTTAGACCTTCAAATTCGGAATTTTTATGAGGAATGAGACCAAACAAGTGTTTACGGTCTAGGAACCCCCTTAGGCCGTCAACACCCCATATGAGGGTTTTGAAGCCTCAAAACTCCTCCAAGACACTTCTAGGGCTTAGATTCAGCCTAGAAACTTGCCTGCATGAGCTTAGGACCCCAAAATCATAACATATGATGTATGGACATGATTTTACAGCCAAAGCATGTTCTTGGACCGTAAAACCTCATTCACGGACCATAAACTCATGTTAATGAGTCAAAATGCCCTTAAACACCTTCAAAATGCTTCCATGGGAGTGTAGAACCTCATAAACCTTCATGCGATGCACCAAATCATCATCAAATGGGATACACTTGAGTTTACGGCCCAAGAACATTCTTGGACCGTAAAGACACCTCCTTAGGCTGTAAAAATCCCTCAAAGGGTGTTAAGGTGCCTTTAACCCCTTGAATAGCTTAGTTTTGGACATAGAATCACATGTGATTAACCTTCAACCACCAAAGCCCTTGATTCATGGACAAACATGAGTTTAAGGTAGTAAACTCCCTAAGAACATCTCCTTAGACCTTAAACTCATTTCCAATGCCATTCCAAGTCCCGATCACTTCCTAAGCCATGGAATCGACCCTAGAACCTTCCCGTGTGCATTGTATGACCATTTAGCATCCAAGAACCCACCACCCATGAGTTTACGGCCGTAAACTCATGGTAAAATGGTCAATAGGCTGTAAACTCCTCATTGAGTTTATTTTTGAAGAGTAAACTCCATATCTACGTCCTATTCATCCATAGATGTCACCCGGATCACCCTAACACTTGAATTGAAGTGTTTTCACATCTTGGAGTGCATATTCATGTCTAATTAGTGGTTCAAAGTCTAATTAGATACAATTGCATATCATTTCATATTACATAGGAACCTCGCGCGTAATCAAATCCCGAACCGTCACATAGCATCCAAACCGTCGCGTTTTCTCGTCTAGTAAGTTCATACCCCTACCCATTTTCACTGTTTTCAGGGGGAATACAAGCAAAGTACAAGTGATACTTGTACTCAAAACTTGTTTTATATACATTGTGTTTCATACTATATATGCTTTTAACCCTGAAACTCTTAACAAACAACCGTTTGAACTTACAGGACACACTATCATGTTATTTGTGAATTACATTATAAATTGTTGTATTTATATCTTCACAAATGTTTTCCCACATTATAACAGTTAAAAGCATAACTTTTGAACATGGTTTTGTCCTTGTTAACACTTCACAGAGATACGCAAGTGGAGGATAGTCATTTGATCTTTCAGTATTATTACTAGTAAATTTGTTAATCCTATAATTGGAGACACGTCCTCGGTGAACACTCCACAGAGATACGCGAGTGGAGGACCGCCCCCATAACTAGAATCTCTTAGATAGGGAGCGTGAATTGAGTGTATAGATCTATACGGGGCTGACTACCCCACGCCTGGCTGCTAGCTACAGCCGAACCGAAAGGTTCAAGTGTGACGACAGTCATAGAGTTAAATGGACTGCTTATTGCCATAATTAGTCTTTAGTATGGTTATGGAACTCGCAGTTTGGATAACAGAGATTTACATATTAGTAATAATGGATTAAGTAACTAGTTTACTTGGTATATGTTAGTTTTATAAACGTGTTAAAACTAATACATTTTCATAGTACACCTTTTACATTACATTTTGGTTCGGTGAGTGCATCTTTTACATTACATTTTGGGTGGGTAAACTAACACGTACATTACAAGGATAACCAGGTTTTCAGTATACATCTTTCACATTAGGAAAATATGGGATTTTCCTGGGATCACAGTTGAGCATAACCAGAACAGTGTAACCTAACAATTAACCAAACATTACTTTTAAGAAAATATGAGATTTTCTTGGGTCGTAACATTTTCAGAAACCAGAAAGGAAACTCGTACATTTTCACAGAACAAAACCGCTTATGAACTCACCAGCTTTATGCTGATTTTCAAACTGCTTGTATTCTCAGGTCCGCATTAGACAGGTACCCGATGATCCAAGTTGGCGAAGACGGAGTGCGTTGAAGACACGTCTTGTTTTTGTTTATATATACATATGTATAAACACTGTACAACTTTACTTTTGGTCAAATGTAATTTTCTATATGTAATGTAATGGTTGTTTTACTTTACTTACTATGTGCATTGGATTTGATACACAACGTGGAGTCCACCCCGTAAATGTTTCCGCCTTCGGTTTTCGGGGTGTGACAATACACGACATCACAAAGATAATATTTGTCTTTAAAAAATGCAAAACACTAATCAATTTTCAAACTAAGATAAAAATATTAAAAAAACAAAAAACTTACCCGGTGGTGGAAACGGGAATGATTTGAGGTTCTAATAATATTCTAGAGTCATGCGCTACCCTTCCCACCCCGACCACAACAAATGTAAAAATTATATTGACGTCACAAATTGCCTATACGTTTTGGTAGCAATCTTCCTTTTCCCTACTTCTATATAAGTCTTGTTTCTTAGCAGGGACAACAACATGTATCAAAGTGCCATCAAGTGCACCAACTGCCCCTTTGAAATCCCGTCGTAGTCTTCTATTATGTTCTGGAATGTTTGGATTTGGATTAGAAGAAGTTGGTACTATAACATCTTGTGCAAAAAACATCAATTTTTCCATCACTTCATAAAAAATTTATGAATTGTTTGCTTCGAGTGTTGAAATCTTTGCTTGATAATCACATAACATTAATTATGGCCGATCATCATAAAAAACGTAGTCATCTTTTCCTCAACCAATACATGTTTGTTTTCCTTTAATGAGTAATTTGCTCTAAAATGAGCACATAGTCATACAGAAGAGTCACAGGATATGCGTAGTACTTCAACACACTGTAAACGATTACGATGTAATAAATCCAATGTGTATTCATGTTTCGTCATTTCTGAATCATTATCCCGCAATCGTTTCACATCTGTCTTCCAAAAATAATGGATGTGTAGGTACATAAGAATTACGTGAAGTAACTTTTGATCGTGATCCATTGTGAACCTCAAATCAACAAAGTAGAACTTTAAAAAACATTACGTTAATCATATTGCAAGTAGCAAAAAAACATTACATATACCATATTTCAAGTAACAAACAAACATTAAATTAATCATATTTCAAGTAGCAAAGAAATATTACATAAACCATATTTCAAGTAACAAATAAACATTACATTAATCATATTTCAAGTAGCAAAAAAAACATTACATAAAACATATTTCAAGTAACAAATAAACATTACATTAATCATATTTCAAGTAGCAAAAAAACATTAGATTAAACATATTCCAAGTAGCAAAATAACAAAAAATAGTTCCAACAAAGGAAAAAAGACCTAACAAAATAGTTCCAACAAAGGCAAAAAGACCTAACAAATAGTTGCAACACAAGAAAAATCATCAGCCAATCTTTTCGTCCTTCAAAAATCATAAACTTGTATCCATCATCTCAAGCCATCCTCGTAATATCTCGGGAACATCGGGCAAGTGCATCCACATCTATCTCAAGTTCATGGTCCCTTTAAAAATATGATATGCAACAAAGAGTAAAGGATTTGTAGGGCCTAACTGAAGCACCTCTAACTTCTCTAAACATTGAGGAATTGTATTCCCTTTAGTCAAACTGTGTAGGGCTTTTTTCATTTCAAATGCTGAATCCTCAGCAGTAATAGAAGTTCCATCAGGTGAAGAAGTAGACGGTGAGGCACTAAGAGTTATAAGAGTTGAGAGTTTAGAACTTTTTTTGGGGTTACTGGATGGCGACACAGTATATGGTGAAGTAGTAGAAGGTGAAGCAGCATAAGGTGGTGGCTCATGATGGGAAGTGTCATCACCATCATCATCTATTGCATGAAAAGGGGTGGCGGTAATCTGAAGTGGTAGAACATGACAAAAGGATGCTCTAGCTACTGATGATGTTTGGGTTGAGTAAGTCCTAAAATTACCAGTGGAACTACTTCCATCAAAAAGAGGTGCACAAAGATCTGGAAAAGGCTGTGGAATTATTCTCAATGAAGCAACCTTCGGATGCCCTAAACCCAAATGTAACCCAAATGTTTATACCTTTTTGCGGAAGGTGCAATAACGGTCACATAAATGGGGGGTTGGTATGCAATGATTTAAACAAGAGGATAAAGCAATAATTAAATGAAACAAATTTAGGATTTGTGAGAACTCCAACTCTATGCAAGACAATTTAATAATGTGATTCCAAGGATGAAATGATATCTACTCAATTCCACCTAAGTTGGTACTTGAAAGTGTTAACAAGTTCTAACACTTCCCATTCACCAAGTTGTCAAATTCAAAACAAGCTCTTTGAAAATAACTTAACCTTCTAATTTAAGTCTAACCAAGCTCTTAGATAGAAATGAAAAGGTTACAATAAGCTTTATGTGAATGTTGCCAACAACACCCAATACTCCTTACAAGCTCGGGAGTGTAAGAGTATGTGAATAAGATTTACACTAAATTTAGTCAATGGAAGTAAATTTAGTGTTTGTTACTTAGTCCAATTCACAAAAAAATTATGGATTTTGCAATTAGATAACTTGAATGACCTAACCCTAATTTAAATGGCCAATAAGAATCACAATTAGAATCAAACATTCAATTGAAACAAAAATCAAATTTAATAGGTAGGAATTAGAAGCAAACATCAAATCACATGATTGAAATCACAACTAAAGAGTCAAGACATGAAGTTGGAGAAACTAGGGTTCTAGCCACTCATGACTAGAACAAGATCACAAATCTAGAAAATGAAATTAAAGCTCTTACAAATAGAAATCAAATGTTCCAAGTGTTAATCAA